TTACAAAATGTTGTCCCTCACTGATCACTATATCATGTAGATATTATGCATTATAATAATTATTTTCGAGCTGTAATAGTAAGTTTATTACTGAAAAGCTCTAAAATTAAAAAAAAATAACTAAAGATTGAAGCATTTTTACTACTCCAAAAGGTGTTGMATGCATAACAAAMCACATTATTGTAAAATCAATAAGTTCAAAAAAAAAGTTTATAGGTATACCTACATATTACATAGCCACGACATAGGTGTCATCATTAAAATATTACAATAAATAAATAAAATACGTTTATATTTTACTTCTGTTAAATATTAGGCTACGCTAAATGGCGGTATTGCAATAATAACTAACATTTATTTATTTGATTGACAAACCAATACAGTCTTAATGTGAAATAGTATCCGATTTCGATAAAAGACAGAACGCTGCAACCGAGGAAAAATGACGCCGTACCTCCAAGAGAAACTGAAATAATTATTAGTGTAAGTATACATATTATATTATCTATACTAAAATATATAAAAACTATTATCGAACTAAACATAAATAAAGCTTACGTTATAATATTAGTAAAYAGCATATATACGTAAATTTATTATGCTATCAGTGTTTATTTGCAAATTATATGAATATTGTGTATTACATAGTATAGGTAACTGGTAACTTATGAGTAGACGTCATATTTTATTTTATTAGATGAAATGGTACGTTAAGACGACCACGACGTGTACCTACTGCATATTTTGTATTATACACGCCGTCATCATTAGGTACCTATATAGGTATAATGTATTATTTTATTTTATGCTAAAAGCAGTAAAAGCTATATTTTACAAAACTATAAAAAATTTGACAAATGGCTTAATTTTATTTTATACACGTCAAAAAATTATTTACGGTGTGTTTGAAATTGTACACATTCTGGCGGCATTTTTTTTTTTTTAAATAAGTACCATTTTTTTTCTTTTACAGCCAAGCGACCTCTACTATTATATTATGCTAGGTATGTATATGAGCGTATGGCCATAACCTATACATCATATTGTATTATATAGCTTTATCCATTCTGTATAGGTATGTATTCAATTTACAGCATTATGTCTAATATGTTATATATGTTTACTTGTAACCATGTAGGTACTTTAAGTAAATGCAGTACCGTTCCCGGGTTTTGTGAGGCCCTGGGCATTATTAGAATTCGAAGCCCTGGACTTACATTATTATATGCTAAATTGTTTGAAAATATTTTATTTACACGATAAATTATATTGTTATATATACGCGAAGCCCTGGGTGTGTACCCCGTTTGCTTTGCCCTTGGAYGGCACTGGGTACATGACGTATATACAGTGGTGTAATTGTGAGGCTCATCTCCCACTATGAAATTTTTGTATGAAGGAAAATATATAAATTATAAATTATATAGTGCCTATCATTGATCCTCTGCAAATATGCTAGCTGTAGAAATATTTATATCTTTTAAGATTATGAAAGAATACAATAATACATTATTAATAAATTATCATACATACTTTTTAAAATGAAAATACTTTTTTCCATTAAATTATTGAAAATAGCTGTTAGGTCAGTTGGGTGTGTACAGTTATTTCACGCTTCTGTTTACTGCTGTATAACATATTTAGTTACGTATTGTCAACGTTATCTCATTATCTAAGTTACAAAAGTAACCCAGTAATATTATTTCATATAATATTTATCATACGATTGCAGG